TTGTAACTCCACTTATGTCTCAGTCTACATGTCTATGTCTCAGTCTACATGCCTATGTCTCTTTCACGTAAGCTAGCATAAAATGATTTCTTTTTCTGTTTCAAATATTTAACGTCGAATGTCAGTTTTTTTTTTTTTCATTTTTAATTATTTAGCAACAGTTTTAAACCAACATAAATTTTCAAATTTTTTTACTTTAATTTTTTTAGCTGACAGTTTTAAACAAAATAATTATTAAAAATTTATAATAATTTAAAATCATCGCTAAATAATTAAAGATCCGAATTTTTTAGTCTCTTACTTGATATGTGTTAGGAGAGATTTTTCAACCAGAGAGCATTGAACATTGTGAGACTTTTCTTTTCTAGAACAACACCTTTGTGAGAGACACATCACATACTCACCAAAAACCTTAGGGTGTATGGGTTCTCTCACTTATAAATGCTCGAGTCACCACATTTTTATCCAATGTGGGACTATTATCCACCCTACTCACACTTGTTAATACTTAACAATATGGTGAATTTTTTTTTTATAATAACTATATATTAAATACTATTTACCATTATAATAAATATTTCAAAAAATTATCCAAAGTAGTCATATTTTCAACAGTAGGTCGCCATCTCAACTGGCGAAAGGGAACAAATGAAAAATGCAAAAGTGAAATTCGTCAGGTGAAATCGCGAATGAGACCAGCTTAGAAGAAATTCGCCAATCAAATTGGCGAATGAGGCCAATCAACTAGGGTTTCGCTTTTCATCCATTTTTGGTTTTATATTTTGATCAGTTTTTAATAAATATAAATATTTGATTTAAATTAATATTTTTAAAATTCAGCTTGGAACACTCAGTTTTTAATAAATTTAAATAATTGATTATGTTTTTAATTTCAATTAATATTTTATTCTACCAATTCATGTGTTTTTAAATACCTTTTTTTTAATTAATTTTAATTAATAAATACTTTATTTTTAATTATTAATGTAAAATGAATTCTTATTAAATCAAATTAAAATTTGATTAGGATTTAATTTTAATTTTTTTTATAGTTGTTATAAATATTTTAATAAATTGTTTGTGTAAATATTTGAATGGTAATTGTTATTAAATTTATACACATTTTAATAAATATTTTAATTAGGTTTTAATAAATATATGTTATTAAATTATATTGTTTGTTTTTCATAATTAATTAAAATTTAAATAACATAAAGAAAAAATTAAATATAGAAATGTTAAAATTAAATATAGAAATAATAAATTATATTAATTTAGAATATAATGAAAAGTACAATGTCAATTGAACAAAAGAAAAAAACTAATGACCGACTCTATCCAAGTGACCACCGGTGCCACATTGTGTGGGACGCGCGTTGCGACGAGGTTGTTGTGGTGTGTCCGGTCTCTGTGTGTTGAGTTGTGGAGGAGGGTATGGTTGGGACGGCCCCGGCGTATCAGATAGAGTTTGCATCATTTGACCCCAATAGTCGGGAGGTCCACTATCAACGACGCTTCCGTAGTCAAGCCTCATGCCCATATTTTCGAAGGATTGTCGGGGAGGTTGGGTGGAGTATGGACGGTATGGAGTTGGGTTGGTCTAGGTGTGTTGGTTGTTGTGGGGTGTGGTAGTCGAATAATGGATAGTTTGGGGGGGTCGTTGGAGGGGTAATTGGAGGGGTAGTTAGAGGGGGTAGGGTCAAATGAGTTGTCTGGGCTATATGTGGAAGGGGTAGGCTCAAAAGAGGTATCAGGGTTGTAATGGTAAGGTGGTTGAGGCTGGGATTGAGTGAGTGGCATGTAAGGTTGTCGTTGTTGATAGGGGGTATTTGTTGACATGTATGTGTTTTCGTAAGGCTGGTTTTGGGCACTGAACTGTTGTTGTGGGTTTGACGAAGAATCGCGTTCCCTTGGGTCAGCCAAATAGGTTGGCTGGGACAGGAAAGGCTGAGATGTCGTGACAAACTTAAATCAAGTCATATATTGAAGACTTGGCCTAGCCCCGTGCACAATACGGTCGGTTAAGACGTATTGCCTTCTTCTTTTCCAGTGTATACGCAACTCCTTTGCAAACTCCTTCCAATCACTAACACTCCACTGTGCGTCTATCCGCTTTTGATGCCACTGGCCCAAGTCCACTGGAGCATCAGGAATATCCTGATGCATCCCAAATTGTAGTTTCACCCGGTCACTTTGGTGCATCTCCACCGCAGTGAACCTAATTATGGGTGTCTTTGATGTCCACACAACGACATCGTCGGGGTTGGGCTCGTGGTCGAGACCCTCGTACGGCATCCAGACAAACTACAATAAAGTTAGACAATTAAGTTAAACAGAGTTTGAGAGGTTTATGCATATACATTAAAAAAATTAATGGTAAATAACTTACATCATCTGGCCCAAGGTGGTCGATTAGGTTGCGGTATTGAAGTATAGAGTACCTTGGACATCTCTGATAATTCATCCCTGGAACAGACCACCTAAAAAAATAAAAACATCTCAGAAATTATTAACTGAAAAAGAATATGTAGTTGCTAAATAATCTTGAAAAGATACTTACTTGTTGGCGTACGGGAACGTAAAAGAATTCCTGTTTATTGGAACAAGCATTGGCATCCTAGATCAACCCCACGCTTGCAGAAGATAAGCACAACCATAAAAAGTACAGGAATTTTTTTTTGAAGTTTTACAAAGTGCGCTATATAGATGGGCGAGGACAGCTGATCCTCAGCTATATTCACACACTTTGTTAATATTCCGCAATAATGGTAAATACATAGTATGGACGGTATTTCCAGTGCCACCTGGAAATAAAAAGTGCCCGAATAAAATCTTAATATAGCACCGAGTTTTGAGTATTTTCTCATACTCGATGCTATCATCAGTTAAGACAATACGGTTGTATTGTTATCTAAGGTATTTTAAATTAATTCCCTGACCCCTCGGGCGGCCCTCGCTTTCCTCCTGAGGTTCGTCCGTACAAAGAGGGGCGCCCAATAAATCTTCGCAAAGTTGGTCAGGGACACCAACTTTGCCGTTGACGGCCTTACCATCGATGTGTAGGCCGAGCAACATGTAAACGTCCCGAAGAGTCACAGTACACTCACCAAAAGGTAGGTGAAATGTATGTGTCTCCGGTCTCCAGCGTTCTAACAACGCTAGAATAAATTTCATGTCGAGGGAATAAGATTTGATTTCGATCAAATCACCAAACACACAATGCGTAAGGTAGTCCGTAATGAGCGGGTCGTGTGGTATGTAATCATGCACACGACATCGAAACCTCGACCAGCCTCTCAATTTTCCTAATCTTTTCTCCTAGACCAATATCTCCTTCTAGCCAGCGGTTCAATTCCCTGTGCAAGTGCTCCAACGTCTGCGTATTCCAGAGGAGCACCTTCATTGGAGGCTTTGTTGGTGAAAACACAACTAGGGAATTTCTTTTCATTAGATCAAACGTTGGAAAAGGTTCCTCAGATGCTGATGACGATGATGAAGAACGTTGACTTAGAAATGCAGACATTCTAGACTCCAGTCAACTCGAACTGCACCAATACTTTAGTCTTTTGGGATATAATGTTGTGAAAACATACATGTGTTTGCAGTCTTATTTATAGTAAAAAAAATAGTACGTACCCTATATGATATGACTTAAATAACCCTACAACATTTACATTATTTAAACTTCAATGAACACTCAATTTTTATGTTTTAAAATTGAAAATTAATTTGAGATTAACATAAATTTATTTAATTGGGTCTAAAATCTAAACTTCAATGAACACTCAACTTTTAGATCATCATAAATTTATTTAATTAATTTGGTATTATTTTTATTTAAACCTAATTATTTTAAATTTATTAATTAAAAAAATAATTTTAACATTAAACCTAATTATTTTAAGTTTATTAATTAAAAAATTAATTTAACATTAAACCTAATTATTTTAAATTTATTATTAATAATTATATTTAAAAAATATTAATAATTTAAAATATAAAACATAATCATATTAAATACATTTAAAACATTAATTGAAATTAAAAACATAATTAAAAAACAAAGGAAAACTCAAAACCCTAAATTTTTTGCCTGATTCGCTAAATGGATGGATGACATTGTTGCGGTCCATTTTCACTTTGTCTGATTCGCCAATCGGTTAGGCAAATGAGTGTAACATGGCCCAGTTTAATTTTTTTTTGCCTATTTCGCCAATTAAAATGGCGAACGCATATTGAATATATGTCACTTTGGTTTTTTTTTGTAACTCTTATTTAATTGATATTATTTTTAAAATACTTGATTAGTTTAAAAAAAATTCTGATATGGTAGACGGCACCTCCACTTATGTGATTTTACGTTTTAACACTGGTGGTTTTCCTTCTTAAAACAAAACTCAATTTACTTTTTGTGAAATAAAGTAATAAAGCATTTGCTATATCCCTAAGTTGTTTAAAGGATTATATTCGTAATCATGGGATATTATTCTTTGGAATATTATATTCCTGCCTAAGTGTTTAGCAAGAACTTGAGCTTTTTGGAATATTTATAAAATATATTTAATTTAATTTTAAAAAAAACAGTTAAAATAATTTAAAAGTGATAGGTTATGAATAGTTATCTCTTATCTATACTGTACATAGGATAGGAGAGTTTGGATTAACGTATTTAAAAGTACTATTATATCTAAAATTAATATATTTTTTAAATTATTTATTTATAAATATCAATAATTTATTTATGTTAATATAAAAATATAAATAAATATTATTGTCAAAAATTAAATTTTAAATCAATATTTTACACTCATTTAACTCGATTAAAAGATATAAGTTATTAAAAAATAATTGTCATCTTAAGTGATGAAATAGTAGGACACTAAGAAACACTAGAATCTGACATCAGCCTCCAATATAAATAAGAGCCTTGAACATTATGCAATTCCATTCATTCTTGTGTGAAGAGACAATTTAAGGTAGTTGGAGTAGCATAGAAGATAATGGAGAATCAAAAGACAGAAACATGGATTGAAAAAGCAAAACCATTGATAGCTGTATTGTTTTTGCAATTAGGATATGCAGTTATGGATGTTTTATCAAAAGCTGCATTGAATAAAGGAATGAGCAACTATGTTTTTGTTGTCTATCGTCATGTTGTGGCATTCATTGTCATTATCCCTTTTGCACTCTATTTTGAAAAGTACAATTTTTTCTCTCTCTCACTCTCTTTGTATTTAGAATCATGAAAAAATATATTTTCATCTCATAATTATTTAAGAAAATTTTTTCAGTTAATTAGTCCGGTAGTCAGAGTCCATCTTACTAAAACTGAAGAAATAAAATGTCGCGATATCGAATTTGATATTATTTTTATATAATTATTAACTGAGTTATCTATGATTAAAAAGTTTATTCTAATGAGAATTTGTTTTAAGTAATTTCTTTAAATAAAATTTATAATTTGTTTTTTTTTTATGATTTGATTTTTTAATATTTTAAAAAATTTCTCTAAAATTAATATCTAAATCGTTTTTATGCATGATCATTTTTTTTATATTCTCTATCAATATTTTATTATAATTTGTAATTGTGATTTCAATTGTATTGTTTTATTTTTTGTTTAACAGGAAAGTGAGGCCGAAAATGACAATTTCGATCTTCATAAAAGTATTGGTGCTCAGCTTGCTAGAGTAATGATTAAATTAGATATTTTAAATTAAATACAATGGCTTATTATTGATTAATCAAACAAGTTTTCACTTAATTTATGTTAATTTGACTATGATTGTCTATGACAGGCCAGTTATTGATCAAAACTTGTATTTTTTGGGAATGAAATACACAACAGCAACCTTTGCAGCTGCCATGACCAATATGCTTCCTGCTTTTACTTTTATATTGGCTGCCATTCTCAGGTAATTGCTTGAATTTATAGAATATCCATTCTCTGTGCATTATTCCATCACTAAAAATCATTATTATCTCTAATTTTATTTATAAGAAAAAATTAATTTTTTATATTTATTAAATAATTAATGTATTTGATCTATTATATATATTGATATCTCAATAACACAATTATATTTTGTATTTGTGAATAGACTTGAGAAGCTAAAGATAAAAAGTATACGAACTCAGGCAAAGGTGTTGGGTACTATAACAACCGTCGCAGGTGCCATGATGATGACACTTGTTAAAGGCCCAATACTTTTAGAGGCATTTGGAAACAAAAGTCACCACCATGATAGTGTTGCTATATCTACTCAACATGCAATTGCTGGAGGAGTCTTTATCTCAATAGGATGCATTAGTTGGGCTTGTTTTTTTAATCTTCAAGTGAGTTATTCTTTTCTGACTCATTATTCAATACTAATTCCCTTCTTTTATATAGATTCATTGAAAAATAATGTCTTTTTTAGGCTATTACCCTACAAACATACCCTGCACCACTTTCTCTTTCCTCATGGATATGTCTCATGGGCACAATTGAAGGTGCAGCAGTGGCTTCTGTTATGGAATGGGGTCATCCATCAGTTTGGTCCATAAAATGGGATATGAGATTGTTGTCTATTGTTTACACAGTAAGATTATCCATCCAACCAAACTATAGAACTTATAATATAAAAATTAATCTTATAAATTATTTATATACAGGGTCTATTCTGCTCAGGCCTGAGTTATTATTTAGGCGGAGTCGTGATGAAAACCAGAGGTCCGGTTTTTGTCACGACATTTAGTCCCTTAAGTATGGTGATCGTTGCAATCTTTGGATATTTTCTTCTCGCGGAACAAATGTTTCTTGGAAGGTAACCATAAATTTTCGAAGAATTTTTTGATTGATCAATATCAAATAATTGAATCTGGATGATAATATTGCAGGGCAATAGGTGCATTTATCATTTGTTTGGGATTATACCTTGTTGTGTGGGGGAAAAGCAAAGATTACGAGAACTCGTCGGAATCCATTGTTGAAGAGGCTGTTGAATCACCTAAGCAAACTGCTGGTGAAAATTGCACTCATGAAGTCATCATTATTCGTTAACTTTGGAACTGAAATCAACAACCTAAAGGAACTGAAATAGTTTGTGTTCTTTCCTAATTGTTTTCTATCTTTAAATTGTGATGGTAGAGGTTTTTAACATGTAGGCTGTTTGAATAAGAAAATATCAAAACTCCCAAAGTGTGTTTTGAGACTTTGTAAATATTTTATATTAGCAAGCAATATATTATTAACATGGTGATGTCACAGAAATTTAATATAACAATACAAATTTTCAATTTTTTTATTCACTTAATTCTATATGTGAGATTCACTATGCTCTGGATGTATATTTCCAGAAACAACACTTTTTAGCTTTATCTGTATACTACCTGCTATCACTAGTGAAACCAGCATGCCTTGGATGTGGCTGCTCTTGCTTCCACCACTAAGGAGCTTCAGCAGATTAAACAAGAACTCACCATGATGTGTGATGCTAAGGACCAGGCATTGAATCATGCTGATCATGCAACTAAAATTGTTGAGGTTCATGCTGAGAAAGTCAAAATCTATGCAGCTGAATTGGCTTAGTTGAAGGCCTTACTGGATTCAAAGCAAGAAACAGAAGCCAGTGATAATAGGCTTATAATGAAGTTGAAAAAAGAGGTAAAGGCTCTCAAACCAGAACTTGATAAGGGAATGAGTTATGATGAGAAGTTGATAGAGAAAGAAAATCTTATTGAACAACTTAATGTAAAACTTGAAACCTAAAGGATGACAGAAAAAGAAAATATTATTAATGTGAAGTAGTATCCATTAGTGATAGCAGGTAGTATGCATATAAAGTTTTAAAAAAATGTTTGTTTTGGACAATATATTTTTAGAATTTTTTCGGAGATATATTTCTAGAATAAATTTATTTATAAAATTGGAGTCTAACTCAAAAACGAATGAAATGTGTATTATGGTGCGTCTGGAGATACATCTTTGAAAATTTAGAATATTTTTAAAATTTTGCATAGTGCCTAAGAAATATATAGGGTAAATAAGAAACCATCAGTTTGTATTACCTATATTGGGCTTCATTTCTTTATGCTTGATTGGCCCATGTAGTGTGGTATATTAGATGGCCACTTCTCTTTGTAATACACAGAAAAATAATTGTTCACTTTTCATAATTGAATTTCCTGCCATGGCTATTCATCACCTACTGCATTCATTCCATTTAATGTATTATGGTATCAGAAGAAATTAATCATTTCTTTTGCCTTCCATATCTTCACCCTCATCAACTTACACAGTAAATCTTCCAATGGCTTCTGATGCTGAATCTGACAAATCTTTCAATAAATAAGATCCCAAGAAGCTCGATACTCCCAAGAAGCACGATATTGATCCAGTCTTGAACCCTCGCAACCCATAATATCTTCATCCTGGAGCAAATCCATGCGACGCGCTTTGACATCCAAGAACAAGCTCGCTTTCATCAATAGTACTCTCCTCAAACCCTCTTTTTCTGATCCTAACTATGAACTGTAGAATCGTGCCAACAACATGGTTCTTTATTGGATCAATCACACGCTTTCACCGCACATTGCACAAAGCACCATCTACTTCGATTCAACGTTTGATCTCTAGGAAGATCTCCATGATCGATTCATTAAGGGTAACCATTTTTCGTTTCTCCAATCTTCTCTGTGATCTGCATTCAGTTCAACAAGGAGATCGTTCTTTATCAACCTACTTCATTGATCTCAAGATACTATGGGATGATTTGGAAGACTTGCGACCAACTCCCTTATGCACTTGCCTTACATCCTATTTATAAGAGCAACTATTCACCTTCTATGAAAGTTGTATAAATCCCACCAAATCATGTGATCAAAAACCCCGACAAAAAGAATGTACCACCATATTACAAAATAAACCCATTCATTTCTAACGAGATAAACTACTAATCAACTACTTTCTTTCCTCTTATTTATAAGAAAAATTATACTTTTTAAATTTATAAATAGAAACAAAAAAGTATTACTAGAAAAATTGCTAAACAATCTCACACTTATAGTCTTAGATACTTTTCTAAAGTTGTATGCATATAGAAACTAGCTGAGTAGAATCATAAATTCAGAGCATAAGCATAAACTTGTTATTTATAATATGCACACCAAAAGCAGAGCCAAGAAAATTCTTCCCCAGTCCACCATCTACAATTTCATAATAGAACATTAACACATAGAACAAATCACAAATTCAAAGCATAAACATGTTATTTATAATATGCTTAATAAGCACACCAAAAGCAGAGCCAAGAAAATTCTTCCCCGATCCACCATCTACAATTTCGCAATAGAACATTAACACATAGACCATTTGATTGAATGTCGCAATGTCGCATCTTCAGTTGGATTTCTTCACCCAACTTGTCTTGATTTGGCATTAGGGAAGAAATATTGTGATATAAAATGCATTCGAAAACAAAACTTCCCTTAATTGATCGTGTATGGATGTGTATGTACGTGTGTGTGCGCGCGCGCGCACGAGCGCGTGTGTGTGTATTGCACAATTGCATAAGCTTCACTTATTGGAAATTATATTAAATCACACATTTAATATATTGAACAGTAAGCGGTATCTAAAAATGCATCATTGATATTCAAGTCACGAAAATGACATGTGATGTGGAAAAACCTTTCAGTGATAATGTGAAGGTGAGATAATACTTAGAAGGGGGGGTTGAATAAGTATGAAAGATTAAGACTTGAAAAATAATCACACAATTATTTTTATCCTGGTTCGTTTAAACAACTACTCCAGTCCACCCTTCCTAGAGTGATTTGCCTTTCTCAACAAGGACTTAATCCACTATTAAATCAAACCGATTACAATAGTAACACCTAAGAACAACTGTTCTTAGTCTTCTCAAGAGCTACTGATTCCAACTGAATCCTCTTAAGGAATAACCTTTACAATCAATGTAAATTAAGTACAAGAGTATTAATGCTTCTATAAAGCTTTTATCACAACAGTGATTTTTCTCTTAAGTTTAAGTTCAATAAGATTCTAAGAAGAATATGAAAATAATGAGAGCTTAGAATAATATGATTTCTTTTCAGCAAATTGTGTAACTGAAGAATGTGGTGAAGTTCTCCTTTTATAGGCAGCTGATCCAAGGAAGCTGAGCGTTGAAAAGAGAGTCCCAAAAAGGTCTGAGCCTTTTTGTCTTCACATCAAGTGACCTTTCCTAGAAGTAGATGGCACAGAAAAATCCTTTTTGTCTGTGTAAGTGTGTCTAGCACAAATGAGGAAAGAGACGTTGAATAACTCCAACGGATATATTCTTGAATATTTCTTCTTCAGTTTTCAGCAAGTTCTTCAGAATCTGAATGGATCAGAGTCTTCTAATGATATTCAAAACTTTGCTATATCAGAGTCTTCTGCAGCAGGTGTGCTTTCAGCGTGTTGATCATCAGAGCATATTTGACACAGAACTTCAGTACTTGGCAGCGTTGGTACTTTCAGAAACTTCTGTAGACTAATGCTTTGAGAAACTCTTCAATTAATATTCTTCTATGCTTCAGATGCTTCAGCTTCAGATGCTTCTGATTATCTTCATATGCTTCTGACTCAGAATGTTCTGGAGCTTCTTGCTTCAGATCCTTCTGGAGACTACGCTCAGGATCTTCTGTAAGGAGCAATCAGATTCTTCTGTAAGTTGCATCTGGCGCTTCAGAGTCAGGATAATTTCTTGTATTCAAAACAGATTTGCTTCTAGAGAGTTAATTTCATTTCAATCTGCAGTAAAACTCTCAAACAAATTTTAGAGTATATAATTCTTAAATATAAATTTCCTAACAGTTATCATCAAAACAAAGAGTTATTATTAAGAACCAATCTGTGTTCTAACAATCTCCCCCTTTTTGATGATGACAAAAAGTATCAGAAATTTTATTTAACTGAACATAAAGAATTATAACTCCCCCTGAGATGATGAATCTCCCCCTGAATTAAATATGAAAAAGGAATAGAAACTTCCCTTTTTGTCTTGAGTAATCTTCAGAGTTAGATCTTGTTTGTTTTTATAACGATTTAGGATCAGAATATCTTGCAGATATAAGATTCAGAGTTTGATAAATGATCTGAGAGACTCAGAGATTCTTTTATAGAGTGTTCTTATCAAATGTTCTGAAATAGTCAATTAAAATATTAGATAGAGTAGATATGTCTGAAGATTCATTCTAGTGAAGTTATATTAAACAGTTCAGATATTTATTTTCTCCCCCTTTTTTTGTCATAAGCAAAAAGTAAACACTTTTAAAAAGACAAATAAAAGGAACACTAAACAAGATAAATCAATGGAGAAAACTGATTCATTCAAAATAACAGAGCAAGAGTACATAGGTAAACATCAGAAGATATAACAATAAAATTCAGATGCAAACAACAGATGCACAAACATTAGAATGAAAAAAAATCTAAGAGTGTTTTGACAAAAGCATCTTCAATAGATATGTAATCTCAGATGATGATTGCTCTTGCTTTGACATCCACTTAGTCATGGTCTCATTCTTATCATCTTGTTTTGACATCCACTCTGTCATATCTTCAGATTTCTTATCTTGCTTTGCCATCCAAGATTTTATTTCAGACTGACCAGCCTCCAGAGCAGCAATTTTGACTTCAAAGTCTGGATGTTCTGTCTTTATCTCTGATGAAGAAGGTGGAGGTTCTGCAGCCTGAACAGAGTCAATTGCCATAGGTTCTGTAGATCCTGAAGAGGGTTCTACCAGAGTCATAGTCAATGCATTGGCAGTTGGTTCTGTTGGAGGTGGAGGAGCATCTAAACGAAGCAGAGGTTCAGTTTTGTTGACAGTCCAGAATAGAGTCCTTTCAGCTCTGAGCTTTGCATCATCAGAACAGACGTTCTTCAGATTGGAAGCTACAATGTTGAATCTATTGATGAATCCTTTCCAGATGATGTCAGATTCATTTGCATCCATAGTTTCAGAGCATCTCTTCTGAACAGTACCTAAAGACATCTGTATTTCTTGCAAAAATGTTTG